TTTAGTATATATAAGAGTTAACGGTCAAAAACATACATAAACGATCAGGCGTGCGAGTTTCCTACCTAAAATATTACTAACTATTTATCGGAACACACTCCAACTATCAATTGTTCTCTTTTAGTTTTCCTACCTAAAATATCACTCATCTTTCAGGTAGGACAAAGGGACGATGGGTAGTTGAGGTGTGTTTTGATAAATAGTTGCTGATAGTTTAGGTAGGAAACTTGAACAGCTAATAGATCACGTATGAAACTCAAATGAGGATCTGAACTCTAACAAAATGGTAATTGTTTAGGTGCTAAAGAGTGAAGAGTAGTTCTTGGAATGAGTAGAACTGTTTGCAGATCTTAACAAAATGATGATTAGCTATGCAACTTTTCTTGTATTAATGTTCTATGCAAGTGTTTAAAATATTCAAAGAGATCGTGCTTGCCCGAAAATGAGCATGTCTAAGATAAGAATCCAACTTTTACATGATGCACTGTGCTTCCAATCTTACTGAAGCAAGTCTTAAACTTGTTAGTGAACAGTCTATAGGTTGGTCTAAGTGGTGCACTTGAGACATTATGCGGACAAGGGTATGGAGCAAAAATGTACAGAATGTTGGGGATACATTTGCAGGCATCATGCATCATATCGTTCTTCTTTTCTGTGGTGATTTCTGCCATCTGGTGGTATTCTGATATGATTCTGATTTTACTTCATCAAGATCCTGACATAGCTAGAGAAGCCGGTGTATTTTTGAGGTTCCTCATTCCTGGATTGTTTGCATATAGTTTTCTGCAAAACATTTTGAGATCTCTTCAGGCACAGTCGATCATCATGCCTCTGGCTTTCTGTTCAGTTGGATCTTTAGTCATCCACATTGGGATTTCCTATGCCTTGGTTCATTGGACAGGTCTTGCTTTTAAAGGAGCATCATTAGCGGCTTCTATTTCGATCTGGATCTCACTTCTCACGTTGGGCCTATACGTGCTCCTTTCGAAGAGATTCAACCATATCTGGAGAGATGGTCTCTCGTTCGAGCCATTTCATCATATCCTTACAAACTTGAAGTTGGCTTTGCCCTCTGCTGCCATGGTATGGTAAGAATTAACTGTAAATTTTGTTATTACAAGAAGAGTTAACTTATATGTTCATAAACCGTTTTTTTACACAAAGGCGATTACATGCAACAAATCATAACGAGTAAAATTAGTTACTTGTAAAATAAGACTAGTAACCTTCTATAGCAGGTTAACTCACATTGCTAATATAAAATTTTGGCATAGTATTTAAACAAGCACTCAAACTTGACCTCAGCTGGCGAGTAAACACTCTAACTTTGAGTATGCACATCTACACACTTCATCTTGTCTCCTTTCTGTTAATTAAATACTCAAACTTACAAAATGATCATCTAAACACCTCAAAAATTTATGTGTCGCTTCAGCATTAGGTTTCCACAAGAAAGGACACAGTGAGGACGAGGTGGAGCGTTTAGTTGTCAGTTGAGGTGTCTAATTGTGCACTTTCAAAGTTAAAGTGCTTACTTGCTTACTGAGGCCAAGTTTGAGTGTCTGTTTATGTATTATGCCTAAAATTTTCATCACACTGTCGGTGAGTATAAGTTAAATCCTCACAGAATGAAACGCGTTGTCATCCTAGTCGTACTAATAATTTCCTAATTTGATGTATACCAGCTTGGAGTACTGGGCTTTTGAGCTTCTTGTGTTATTGGCTGGTTTGATGCCAAACTCAGGAACAACTACTTCTGTTGTAGCTATGTGGTAAGCTTCTGTCCTTTTCAACAACACATTTTCATGATTTTGAAGACTGAGTTTTAGTTTCTGACACCAATTTGTTTTGGTTTATGACCTTTCAGTGTAAATACACAAAACATAGCTTACATGATATCTTATGGTCTGAGTGCAGCTGCAAGGTAATGTTACCAACAAAAAATTGACATAATTCTGACCCCCCTCTTCCCCCTCAGTTTTGTTACTGATACCAAATACGAATGCGAAAAACGTTTGGTAGTCGGTTAGAGTTATGCAGGTAGTAGTAATATATAGATTAGTTATGAGTGAATCTATGTATAATTTTATACATGTATTAGTTATGCAGGGTTTAAATATTCCATGTTTTATCCTACACAAAATAATTCATAGATTCACTCATTACTTATACGTGTATTAGTTATGCGGGTTTGTAAATTGCAAACCAAACACCATATGCCTTAATTTTATACCTGAATAACTTACCTCCTAACGAGCTACCAAACATGGTATTACTTATGTCGGATTTAATACCTGCATAACTCACCTGCAAACCAACTACTAAACAATCCCATAGTGTTGATTTGTGACAATCACATCTAAATGTTTAAATTGTTAGAGATAGCATACCTTTATTTATTTGATTATGCTTCAACCCCTTAACATGCGGATGGTTCTTTTTAAACGGATGACTAAGGCTCGAACGCAAAAACTCTTTTTGATCACGAATGACGGTGAATTTGAACTTCGGACCTGCTTGCTCTGGTACTATGTAGAATTATGTGACCAGATATAGAGAGAGAAAACGTACTTGTATTTACTTAATTATGTTTCAACGTGCAGCACTAGGGTGGCAAACGAGTTAGGAGCTGGAAATCCTGATAAAGCTAAGCATGCTATGTTTGTTACTCTCAAGCTATCTGTTCTTCTTGCCATTGCAGTTGATTTGGCTCTATTTTTAGGTCATAATGTCTGGGCTAGCCTCTTCAGTGATAGCGCGGAGATAATTAACAAATTTGCCTCCATGACACCTCTCCTCTTAATCTCCTTTGTGTTCGATTTCATTCAAGGAATCCTCTCAGGTTAAAGTTTTACATAGCTGCAATGCACTATGCACCATGACTTTCTTCACTCCTGTTAATTCTTTTTTTTTTCCGACATGCTTTGATTTTCCCCCCTTGAAACAACCTCTCTACCTCCCAAGATAGGGGTAAGGTTTGCATACCCCAAACCTCACTTGTGGGATTACACTGGATATGTTGTTGTTGTTGCAATGCACTATGCTTGTGTGTGCTCGCGCGTGAGTCAGTATTTTTAGTTTTATACATTCAGTAGAACGAGCTATAACGAAACTTGTAAATGAATTGTTCAGGGGTTACTAGGGGATGCGGATGGCAGCATTTGGCTATGTGCATCAACTTGGCGACATTCTATTTCATCGGTATGCCAATAGCCGGCCTCCTTGCTTTCACGTTCAACCTGCATTCTCAGGTAACTTCTATACTTCCAGTATAACTTCTATACACTGACAATGTAAGAGAGTTTTAACTCTACTAAATACCTAAAAGATAAACTACATATAACTGTTCATAATGATTGGAGCTAGTAACCTGGAAAATAAGGTAGATAACTTGCTACAACAGGTTAAATTACAACGATAATATAATTTGTTTTCGAAAATTATATGATGCAGGGTTTATGGTTGGGCTTGATTTGTGGTCTAGCCTGCCAATCTTCTGGCTTGTTTCTACTTACATTGATGACCAGATGGGGAAAAGTAGCAGAAGTTTCAACAAATAGCAATAGAGAAAATGTACTCCTAGCTTAAGCATGAGTTTATGAGTATTCCTATTGAGTTTTCCTTCAGATATGATGATTGATTGATTAATTAATTAGCTTTATTTCTATTTTAAAAAGGAGAAATTACGCGGATAAGCAAATATATACTAGTTAATTAGTTAACATAGCTACAGTTTGTCTTAATTACAATTCGCGACTTACTTTTAGCTATAATTACGCGGCTTGGGTGTTTTAGTTTGTATAATTCGCATGTTTGTATAATTCGAAATTTGTATAATATATAATTTGTATAATATAATTTGTACAACTGTTTAAAGTTAAGATATTTGTGTTTGTATAAATTCATTATTTCGAGTTTATACAAAAATAGCTTAATTATACTAACGTACCCGCAAATTATACAAACCTGCGAATTATATCAACAAGACAGCTTAAACTGTAGCTACAACCCGTAAATATGCAAACTATAGCTATGGAGCATAATTAAGTTTATTATAATAACTATTTGCGAAAATTCTCCATTAAAAAATATGGGTGATATTGTCTAACATAATTTAAAATGAGTCATAGATTCAACATAACATTGCACGTTTTGCCCTTCATATGAGTTGAACTCCAATTCAACCTGTATAAATTTAAAAATATTTCATTAACTAAAACTTTACCTACTATTACTTACTATATACTATATATAAAGAAGACAACGCATGTCTTTTTAAAAAAAATATATATTTATAAACCAAAACTTGACTTGACTAAAATACTATATTTTAATTTAAAAGAATAAGCAGGACTCCTTTATATTTTTTATTTAATTAATTTTACTAATATATGTATAAAGGTTGTTGTGGGGTGATTATCTTTCCATTCTTAACTAAAACTTTTAAATTTTATAAGTGCCTCTAAGCATAACATAAGAAAATTATTATATTACATTTCACGTAGGAAAAGAAATAACTGATAGTTAGCTTAATCAATTTTTAAGTGTGTTTTAATACATAATGATAGATCATATGTGGTGTAGTTCAGGAAGAATAAGTGATCAATTGATAGTTGTGTAGGAAACTAGTGAGAGAAAAAAACAGTTCAAATATGTTTTGGCCAATAAATTCAAGATTAAAGTTAATCATTGCTATTGAATATATCTTTAATATTAAAGAAATAGCAATAAGAATGCACAATGTTTTAGGGAAAAAATCAATCTACTTTTATTAAATAGAAAAACATAATAAAATATACATTTATTTATTACGTTTTAAATATATGTAAAAAGAGCTAAAACGATATAATAAAAATGGAACCGAAGAAATATTTAAAAAGAACATTAAAATAAATCCATCTACATGATAACAAGATTAATTCATAAGGCTCTTTTTTAATTACCAATATTATTCTTTATTTAATTTAATTTAGTGGAGTTTAATCCAAGAGCTTTCTCCAATTGATACATCATGTTTCGTTGGGAATTGTCTTTCCATATTCATAATTCTTGATGATTTGTACATTCACTTTTAGCTAGCTTCTGCATGCATAACAAGAACATGTGTATCAAATCGAGTTTTTAAATTCTATGGATTGACGATATAAAAAAATTAATCATACATAATTATGTCGTTCATTAGATAATGACCGAATAATTTAACTGACACTTTATTAATGATATTTTTTGAGAAAAATTATTCTATGCAAATAAGTCTGGTCTTAAAACGGATACTTTTTGAACGCTACATATCAAAAGGGATCCTCTCTAAAAACATAGATTAAAATGGACATTTTGCTCATATGTTGACGAATTGTGATAAACAAAATTAACTTTCTTTAGTTCACCCCAAAACTCAAAAAACATCACAAAAATTTTAAAGGTTCACTAGAATTCTTTTTATTAACTTCCTCTCACGTGAAGCTATATCATGACTCAATTTTAAGTGTATTGTGAAGTCTATTTGATTTATAAAATCGTGAGTTTCTTCAACAATAAAAGTATTAAGAAAATTGAGATTTTTTTTCATAAAATAAATTTTATTTGCTTACCATCAATATATAATAAAAATACTACTATATATAAACCGTTCTAAAAAGAATAAGATATTTATATATTTAGTATTAATATTTTAGCTTTAAACTTGTCATTTTATCCGTAGTAAGATAATTTATAGACACATAAATCTCTATGAGTTATTTTGGATCATAAAATCAAAGTTCTTCCTTTTATACATAAATTTCATCCCTAATTATCAAACACTTTCACATAAATTAGGACTGAAGAAATATATTATAATTAAAATTCTATCAAAATTATTTTCTTAAATGAATTTTAGAGACCATGCAACTATCTTCAATATTTATTTATTTATTTATAAGGAACTTATCTACCCCATCAAATTAGTTTCAGGTTTGAATTTTGAAAAACAACATTATATTATCGAAATTTTAATTTTCTATAGAGAAGTGAGTCTGAGTCATAAATATGTTTTGCCGAGCTTACATGATACCCTCTAATTCCGTCTTGTATAAAGCTAGAATGCATTAGGAATATATTATATTGAGTTAATAAATATTTAATAATCATCTTATTTTTCTATAAAAATATGTTTAATAATTGTTTTACAACATTATATTATTTGATAATTATATTTAAAAGATATTTTTATTTTTAAATTTAAATTTTAAAACTAATCAACCATTCCAATTAAAATATTAGGTATTTTCTTTCAATCTCAAGTAAATCTACTTTCAAGTTTTACTTGTCGCAACATATCATAGTAATACGTTTTAAAATATCAAGTGTAAAAATTCAATATATTTTCGATGTGTGTATAACTTAAATTTTTTTCGAATATGTAAAATTTTCCTATTTACCTTGAAGTCTCACTCCAAGAACATTCTGTAGTTTAGAGATGGTCACTTGGCTCGGAAGTGCCCTCCCAGATTCGTACTCCTGAATCTTCTGTGGTTTTACATTTATTTTCTATAAAACAAGGAAACAAAGTTAATTATCAAATGAATTTAAGTTATATACACTATCGATATTAAAAATTTTTTATTGATGACTTTTAACATATAATAACAAGGTTATCGATCTAGCTATAATAACCTTCTAAATGATTTAGTTATGTAACTATATGTTTACACCATGCCAGTAATTAAAACGAGATATATATACATATATACACACCTGAGCAAGTTGAACCTGACTTAGGTTCTTCCTATTTCGGGCATGCAAGATGGCGTCCCTCAATTTAAACGGTTTGTTTTGATTTACAACAATAACGGGGTTTTTAGGAGGTCGTGACTGGTTTTGATTTGGAACGATAACGCGGTTATTTCTAGGAGGAGGGGGGTTTATGTGCGGAGGTACCCATGGCTGGTTTTGATTTGGAATGATAAAGAGGTTATTTCTAGGAGGAGGATGATTTATATGCGGAGGTACCTGATTGTGATGGACGTTCACGATGATAGGAGAAGTACGTCTTTTGGAACCACAAATACTCATAATATAATGGTAGAAAGAATATATACTCAATTTGATGAATTGAATCAAAGAAGAAAAATAATTGAAACAAGTTCAAATATTGAATCCCAATTTAGACAAGTTCACAATGTGCACTCAAGAGGAAGAAGAAAAAGTACATGAAATATATAGGGTTTCATCCGAGTCCAATTTATTTTTATATATAAAACTCTACTAAAGTCTTCATAAATATTAGATCCAATCTCATTAATTTTAAAAATATAATGAGTACGGTACTATCAAGTTAAAATTTTGGATACACTTTTACTATTAAACGTAAAACGAAAGTGTAAAATTAAAATATTGTTTTTATATAAAAATGTGTTATTCTTTCATTGACTGAGTGTTGAAAAAATAGTGTCACACCAACTGAAACGAGATGAAGTATGGTATCTCCCTAGCACTTTCCAAGTGTGGATGCTTTCCTATCTTATTGATAGTAGGTGTTTACCTACTGGCTATATAATTATATTATGAGTTTTACCTACTGGCTCTTTGGCAGTTTTCTCCTCCTTTTGCGACCACCAATTTCTTGGTGATTACTCATTAGAGTCTCGCGGTGGAATGAATAGAATCTTTTCTTTTGAGTCATATTTTTCTAATGATCAAAAGTGACAAATTCAATTGGAGTGACTTTGTAAGAAAATTTAAGTTGCCACAACGATCCCATAAACACCCAGTTAGCAGAAGATTTTTCTTTTCATTTTTTAATGAGCAGTTTTTATGCTCACATGATTATGTTTTTCATTAGAATAATTTTTCAAGCAATAAATTATATTTTAAAAATATATTTAAAACTTAGTAGTTTGTGGTGTATACTTTATCATTCAAAGCTTCTATTACCTAATCCGATTTTTTTAATTGCTAGATTATATGATTAAGCACTTTTAACTCTCACAACTGTGTTTACCCATTATTGAAGTTTCACTTCAGAAGTTTTTTTCTAGCTGAGGCCTTTTTGTGGAAAACTACATTATGGATGTATTCGGTATGAAAGAAAATGTTTTACAGAAAAATAATGATTTTCCTATTTTCTTGTGTTTGATAGGTACGATCCAGAGAAATACCATAAGAGGATGGGTGGAGGGTGCTGCACGACAATATGTAGTACTGACCACACTGAGGAAGAACTAGGGGATCTGTCCGAGATTGAAAGTGTGGGGTGGTGAGGATGGGAGGCAGGGTGAAAATAAGACGGGTTGGAGGGTGAAAAGGATACAATCAATGTGGAACACCACATTTCTCCTACTAAGATAATAAGTTTGAAGGAACTAGACCCTCTAGATACAGAACCAACTCTAATATTGTTGACTTCATTTTGCAGGTGACCCAAAAACAATTCAATAGAATAAATATTGGGGGAACCTGGAGGAGCATATGCAAAGCTAGTGAAGCAAATATCCAACAAATGACTAGCATACTGATAACATGGATCAAACCCCCTCCGCTACGAGTAAAATTAAACAGTGATGGTAGTTGCTCTAACGGTCAAAGTGGAGGTGGGGGAATAATAAGAGACCAAAAGGGAGACTTCATCTTTGCCTACTCCATCCCCCTGGGCAATGGCATGAGCAACACGGCGGAAGCAGATGCATTACTTTGTGGTCTTCAATGGTGCGCTAGCAAAGGCATAGAGATGGTTATTGGAGAAACAGACTCCTTACTTTTATCCAAAACTGTAAAAAGAGAGTGGGAGGGTGCTGCACGACACTGACCACACCGAGGAAGAACTAGGGGATCTGTCCGAGATTGAAAGTGTGGGGTGGTGAGGATGGGAGGCAGGGTGAAAATATGACGGATTGGAGGGTGAAAAGGATACAATCAATGTGGAACACCACATTTCTCCTACTACGATAATATTTTCCAATAAATTTAACCAAACGAACCTGGGAAAATTGGACACACCCTAAGTTCACATAACACTATAATTAAGTTCCTGGGTTTAGAAACTAGACTGAACTTGATGGCTGAAGGACTGATTTGAAAACGATAAGAGTAAATATGTAATCCTATGAAAAACAGTTGAGAATATAAGTAGAAAAAAAGTCCCGTAAAAGAGTAACTTCAAAATTTCCACAGAAGAAACAGCCAAGTCAACAAAGAAAACAGTAGTGAATCCAGTCATAACGATAAGCAAAACATATCGATGATTAGAGAAAAGTTTGTGTACATGACCAAATTTTGGATTCAAACAGACAGAGACGATCCATAAGGCTCACTTGTGCGCTCACACTTTATTTCTTTCCTCGAAGTTTCGCTCCAAGAGCTCTCTCCAGTTTTGAGATTATTATCTAAGAGGTAGAATCATAATTTTATTTTTATCTTATCATCGAGAAATGAATAATTCTTAAAAGACTATCAAATCAAATCTCTTAGATTATCAAATTTTGATTTGACACGTTTATTAGAGAAACAATGATCAATATATTAATTCATTATTTTACCCTATTAATAGATTGTGAAATATTTGACGAGTAAATAAGGACCGAAAGAGTAGTAAATAGAAGAAAACATTTCTTTTTCCGATCTCTCTTAAGTGTAAAACTGAAAATCTCCCTTACATAACAAATCTATTAACTCTTATATATGTAAAAACGAAGATCTCGATTACGTAACCAAATTACATGGTAGCTTGTTTCCCAATCAAAAAGACCTCATTGTAGACTTTCAGGGCAGAGCCCAAAAAAAAAAAATGGCTTCGGAGAATTGTTCATCCGATCCGAAAAGTCCCCTGTTAGGATCATCATCATCGTCAGGCATTTCATCGAACAGTTGGTGTGCAAAGTTGATCGACGTAGAAGAGGCTAAGAATCAGATGTTATTTTCATTGCCAATGATTGTAGTGAACAGTTGTTTCTCCTTCATCAACCTTGTTTCCGTCATGTTCGCCGGACACCTCGGGAAACTCGAGCTGGTTGCATCAAATCTTGCTAATTCATGGGCTATGGTTACTGGTTTCAGCTTCATGGTATGTAAAAACTTATTGCTCTGTTTTAGATTACAACTTTTTAAGTTTTATGCATTGATGATGGAAAAATATTTATATAATCGGATCACTTAAAAAGGTAATTGTAGTTATAGTAGTGTGAAAAATTCATTATACTTTTAGTATATATAAGAGTCGAAAACATACGTAAACGATCATGTGTGTGCGTTTCCTACCTGAAATATTACTAACTATTTATAAGAACACACTTCAACTATCAATTGTTCTCTTTTTCTACCTGAAATATCACTCATATTTCAGGTAGGACAAAGGAACGATGGATAGTTGAGGTGTGTTTTGATAAATAATTGTTGGTAGTTTAGGTAGGAAACTTGAACAGCTAATAGATCACGTATGAAACTCAAAAAATTGGAATACTTTAGATGTGTTTTTGACAATTAACTCTGTACAAAACTTGAATCTGTTGCTGAATACATCCAACAAGAACCATAGGGGATCGAGGACTTGAAGTTTATGAGTTACTACAAAGATCTCAAGTTAATATATAATAACTGGATTTACAATCAATATTTGTAAATGTTTAATGAAATAGTTAAATACATATATGGTATGAGAAAAAGTTATTAGGTTCCATTTATCCTAAATGACATGCTTTTACAGCAAACATATTTAAGATCATAAGTTTCAATTTTTTTCATAAAATTTGTGTCTAATCAAATTATCCTTAATGTATTACTTAGTTTGATATCTCTTTAACTCATGCATTACCATTTTCTTCCAATATTTGTTCATATTTTCTTCTTTCCTGCCAACGATCATTTTGTTCAGAGTACTACCAGTCAATTGTCTCAATTTCAAATTAGTTAAACTAATAGGACCGTAGTTTAGTTAAGGTGTGTATCTGGGATTTCGGTCATAGTCTAGGAGTACTTGTGCCTTATCCCATAACTATACTCTTCTACAAATGAGGATCTGAACTCTAACAAAATGGTAATTGTTTAGGTGCTAAAGAGTGAAGAGTAGTTCTTGGAATGAGTAAAACTGTTTGCAGATCTTAACAAAATGATGATTAGCTATGCAACTTTTCTTGTATTAATGTTCTATGCAATTGTTTAAAATATTCAAAGAGATCGTGCTTGCCCGAAAATGAGCATGTCTAAGATAAGAATCCAACTTTTACATGATGCCCTGTGCTTCCAATGTTACTGAAGCAAGTCTTAAACTTGTTAGTGAACAGTCTATAGGTTGGTCTAAGTGGTGCACTTGAGACATTATGCGGACAAGGGTATGGAGCAAAAATGTACAGAATGTTGGGGATACATTTGCAGGCATCATGCATCATATCGTTCTTCTTTTCTGTGGTGATTTCTGCCATCTGGTGGTATTCTGATATGATTCTGATTTTACTTCATCAAGATCCTGACATAGCTAGAGAAGCCGGTGTATTTTTGAGGTTCCTCATTCCTGGATTGTTTGCATATAGTTTTCTGCAAAACATTTTGAGATCTCTTCAGGCACAGTCGATCATCATGCCTCTGGCTTTCTGTTCAGTTGGATCTTTAGTCATCCACATTGGGATTTCCTATGCCTTGGTTCATTGGACAGGTCTTGCTTTTAAAGGAGCATCATTAGCGGCTTCTATTTCGATCTGGATCTCACTTCTCACGTTGGGCCTATACGTGCTCCTTTCGAAGAGATTCAACCATATCTGGAGAGATGGTCTCTCGTTCGAGCCATTTCATCATATCCTTACAAACTTGAAGTTGGCTTTGCCCTCTGCTGCCATGGTATGGTAAGAATTAACTGTAAATTTTGTTATTACAAGAAGAGTTAACTTATATGTTCATAGACCCTTTTTTTACACAAAGGCGATTACAGGCAACAAATCATAACGAGTAAAATTAGTTACTTGTAAAATAAGACTAGTAACCTTCTATAGCAGGTTAACTCACATTGCTAATATAAAATTTTGGCATAGTATATAAACAAACACTCACACTTGACCTCGGCTGGCGAGTAAACACTCTAACTTTGAGTATGCACATCTACACACTTCATCTCGTCTCCTTTCTGTTAATTAAATACTCAAACTTACAAAATGATCATCTAAACACCTCAAAAATTTATGTGTCGCTTCAACATTAGGTGTCCACAAGAAAGGACACAGTGAGGATGAGGTGGAGCGTTTAGCTGTCAGTTGAGGTGTCTAATTGTGCACTCTCAAAGTTAAAGTGCTTACTTGCCAACTGAGACTAAGTTGGAATGTCTGTTTATGTAGTATGCCTAAAATTTTCATCACACTGTCGGTGAATATAAGTTAAATCATCACCGAATGATACGCGTTATAATCCAAGTCGTACTAATAATTTCCTAATTTGATGTATACCAGCTTGGAGTACTGGGCTTTTGAGCTTCTTGTGTTATTGGCTGGTTTGATGCCAAACTCAGGAACAACTACTTCTGTTGTAGCTATGTGGTAAGCTTCTGTCCTTCTCAACAACACATTTTCATGATTTTGAAGACTGAATTTTAGTTGCTGACACCAATTTGTTTTGGTTTATGACCTTTCAGTGTAAATACACAAAACATAGCTTACATGATATCTTATGGTCTGAGTGCAGCTGCAAGGTGATGTTACCAACAAAAAATTGACATAATTTTGACCCCCTTTTCCCCCTCAGTTTTGTTACTGATACCAAATACGAATGTGGAAAACGTTGTTTGGTAGTTGGTTAGAGTTATACAGGTAATAGTAATATATGGATTAGTTATGAGTGAATCTATGTATAATTTTATGTAGGTATTAGTTATGCAGGGTTTAAATATTCCATGTTTTATCCTACACAAAATAATTCATAGATTCGCTCATCATATATTATTAAAAGTGGGAAGCATCAAAGTACAATGTTGGATTACCATTTTACCCCTATATTAAATATTTAATTAACAAAATATTAAATAGTAATCATATCACATATTATATTGTACTTAAAATATATATTTTTACATAAAATAGATACATTAAAAAGACAATTATTCATTAATAATCGTCTAAAGAAACGGTTGTCTCTTTACATTCTCCACTATGATCCTTGTATTTTCATTTCACATATGTATATCTTCTTGTTCGTTACATTTTGTTTTATGAGTTTGATAGAGAGCATAGGAGCATTGTCCTTTCCGATGCTCCATTCATGTGTATGTTCTTTTAAGTTATTTTTTATTTTGTTTCTTACTTCTTACTTATCATATAGTTTATGTTGTTTGATTGATGTTTAAGATTTTGATCTCTGATATAAAATAAAAAATTAATTTTGTGTCAATAGCTTATGAGATGATTTTTTTTGTTGCAGGAAAATCAATTGATGAGATGCTTCTGTGTCAATCGCATAGAACTTTACTTTGAGTTGTGCCAATACAAATGGGGTAAGTGACATTTCCTTCTAACATAATTTTTTGTTAGCACAATATTCTTTGTTTGGTTTTTTTTTTTGTTAATAGTAGATCAAATTTATTGAATTTTCATATGCAGATTCATGTGATTTATTTGTGTGTAAAGCTAATTAAGTATTGAATTTTTTTTATATTAACCGTCATAATCCAATAAAAGTAAAAAATGTATTTATGAGCTATGGCATGTTGAGTGATTTGATATTCATTGCCTATTTGACTTCACTTTCTTTGTCTGAATTTAATTTTTTTAATGGAGCTTTCGTCCAAAAAGAAAGAAGGGAGGATAACAACCCATGTTAAGAAAGAAAGGAATGAATACAATATCATATTTTGGTTATGTTTCTCACGAAAATATATTAACTTTCTTTGCTTTAATTTTAGTTGATTATTTTAGTTATTTGAGCCATAGTTTATCCCTCTCTTTCTCCTTCAGAATTTATATTACTTATTTTAACAATACAGTCGACAAAATATAAATGAAATGCTGAATTTCTTTTCTAACTACAAAAAATATTATAATTGCGTTGAGTCGCATCAAATGAGTTTCGTTTAGAAATGTAATATTGATTTTGGAGGTAGGACAACGGTTAATTGATGATATGAACATATTAAGCCTGTAATCTATAGATTTAATTAACTAAATTATTTTTTGATCAAAACATAATATCTATATAAAAACGACCAAAATTTGACAAATTCATACCAAATTTTAACTCATAAATTCAAATAAAAATCAATTTAGTACTAATTAAGAATCTTCAAAGTTGGACATTTTAGATGTTGGATGTCATTGATTTTTGAATATATTTATCATATTGATGCAATTTTGAAAAATACTTATGCTCACTGGTAAGGTGGTAAGGGATATACGCGCAACGCGCGTGCCCAAATACTAGTTACTTATACATGTATTAGTTATGTGGGTTTGTAAATTGCAAACCAAACACCATATGCCTTAATTTTATACCTGAATAACTTACCTCCTAACGAGCTACCAAACATGGTATTACTTATGTAGGATTTAATACCTGCATAACTCACCTGCAAACCAGCTACTAAACGATCCCATAGTGTTGATTTGTGACAATCACATCTAAATGTTTAAACTGTTAGAGATAGCATACCTTTTTTTATTTGATTATGCTTCAACCCCTTAACATGCGGATGGTTCTTTTTAAACGGATGACTAAGGCTCGAATGCAAAAACTCTTTTTGATAACGAATGACGGTGAATTTAAACTTCGGACCTGCTTGCTCTGGTACTATGTAGAATTATGTGACCAGATATAGAGAGAGAAAACGTACTTGTATTTACTTAATTATGTTTCAACGTGCAGCACTAGGGTGGCAAACGAGTTAGGAGCTGGAAATCCTGATAAAGCTAAGCATGCTATGTTTGTTACTCTCAAGCTATCTGTTCTTCTTGCCATTGCAGTTGATTTGGCTCTATTTTTAGGTCATAATGTCTGGGCTAGCCTCTTCAGTGATAGTGCGGAGACAAATGTACCAGCAAATTATATCAACAAGACAACTTAAACTGTAACTACAACCTGTAAATATGCAAACTATAGCTATGGAGCATAATTAAGTTTATTATAATAACTATTTGCGAAAATTCTCCATTAAAAAATATGGGTGATATTGTCTAACATAATTTAAAATGAGTCATAGATTCAACATAACATTGCACGTTTTGCCCTTCATATGAGTTGAACTCCAATTCAATCTGTATAAATTTAAAAATATTTCTTTAACTAAAACTTTACCTACTATTACTTACTATATACTATATATAAAGAAGACAAAGCATGTCTTTTTTTTAAATATATATTTATAAACCAAAACTTGACTTGACTAAAATACTATATTTTAATTTAAAAGATAAGCAGGTCTCCTTTATATTTTTTATTTAATTAATTTTACTAATATATGTATAAAGGTTGTTGTGGGGTGATTATCTTTCCATTCTTAACTAAAACTTTTAAATTTTATAAGTGCCTCTAAGCATAACATAAGAAAATTATTATATTATACTTCACGTAGGAAAAGAAATAACTGATAGTTAGCTTAATCAATTTTTAGGTGTGTTTTAATACCTAATGATAGATCATATGTGGTGTAGTTCAGGAAGAATAAGTGATCAATTGATAGTTGCGTATGAAACTAGTGAGAGACAAAAACAGTTCATATATGTTTTGGCCAATAAATTCAAGATTAAAGTTAATCATTGCTATTGAATATATCTTTAATATTAAAGAAATAGCAATAAGAATGCACAATATTTTAGGGAAAAAATCAATCTACTTTTATTAAATATAAAAACATAATAAAATATACATTTATTTATTACATTTTAAATATATGTAAAAAGAGCTAAAACGATATAATAAAAATAGAACCGAAGAAATATTTAAAAAGAACATTAAAATAAATCCATCTACATGATAACAAGATTAATTCATAAGGCTCTTTTTTAATTACCAATATTATTCTTTATTTAATTTAATTTAGTGGAGTTTTAATCCAAGAGCTTTCTCCAATTGATACATCATGTTTTCGTTTGGGGAAATTGTCTTTTCCATATTCATAATTCTTGATGATTTGTACATTCACTTTTAGTCTAGCTTCTGCATGCATAACAAGAACATGTGTATCAAATCGAGTTTTAAATTCTATGGATTGACGATATAAAAAAAATTAATCATACATAATTATGTCGTTCATTAGATAATGACCGAATAATTTAACTGACACTTTATTAATGATTCTTTTTGAGAAAAATTATTCTATGCAAATAAGTCCGGTCTTAAAATGGATACTTTTTGAATGCTACATATCAAAAGGGATCCTCTCTAAAAACACAGATTAAAATGGACATTTTGCTCATATGTTGGCGAATTGTGATAAACAAAATTAACTTTCTTTAGTTCACCCCAAAACTCAAACAACATCACAAAAATTTTAAAGGTTCACTAGAATTCTTTTTATTAACTTCCTGTCACGTGAAGCTATATCATGACTCAATTTTAAGTGTATTGTGCAGTCTATTTGATTTATAAAATTATGAGTTCTTCAACAATAAAAGTATTAAGAAAATTGAGATTTTTTTTTCATAAAATAAATTTTATTTGCTTACAATCAATATATAATAAAAATACTACTATATATAAGCCGTTCTTAAAAGAATAAGATATTTATATATTTAGTATTAATAATTTAGCTTTAAACTTGTCATTTTATTCGTAGTAAGATAATTTATAGACACATAAATCTCTATGATTTATTTTGGATCATAAAATCAAAGTTCTTCCTTTTATACATAAATTTCATCCCTAATTATCAAACACTTTCACATAAAATTAGGACTGAAGAAATATATTATAATTAAAATTCTATCAAAATTATTTTCTTAAATGAATTTTAGAGACCATGCAACTATCTTCAATAAATATATATATATATATATATTTATTTAATAATAAGGAACTTATCTACCCCATCAAATTAGTTTCAGGTTTGAATTTTGAAAAACAACATTATATTATCGAAATTTCAATTTTCTATAGAGAAGTGAGATATATACCTTAGCAAGCTGAGTCTGAGTCATAAATATGCATTAGGAACGATAACACGGTTATTTCTAGGAGGAGGGTGGTTTATTTGCGGAGGTACCCGTGGCTGGTTTTGATTTGGAACGATAATGCGGTTATTTCTAAGAGGAGGGTGGTTTATGTGCGGAGGTACCCGTGGCCGGTTTTGATTTGGAACGATAACGCGATTATTTCTAGGAGGAGGGTGGTTTATGTGAGGAGGTACCTGTGGCCGGTTTTGATTTGGAACGATAACGCGGTTATTTCTAGGAGGAGGGTGGTTTATGTGCGGAGGTACCCGGGGCTGGTTTTGATTTGGAACGATAACGCGGTTATTTCTAGGAGGAGGGTGGTTTATGTGCGGAGGTACCCGGGGCTGGTTTTGATTTGGAACGATAACGCGGTTATTTCTAGGAGGAGGGTGGTTTATGTGCGGAGGTACCCGGGGCTGGTTTTGATTTGGAACGATAACGCGGTTGTTTCTTGGAGGAGGGTGGTTTATGTGCGGAGGTACCCGTGGCCGGTTTTGATTTGGAACGATAACGCGGTTATTTCTAGGAGGAGGGTGGTTTATGTGCGGAGGTACCCGTGGCCGGTTTTGATTTGGAACGATAACGCGGTTATTTCTAGGAGGAGGGTGGTTTATGTGCGGAGGTACCCGGGGCTGGTTTTGATTTGGAACGATAACGCGGTTATTTCTAGGAGGAGGGTGGTTTATGTGCGGAGGTACCCGGGGCTGGTTTTGATTTGGAACGATAACGCGGTTATTTCTAGGAGGAGGGTGGTTTATGTGCGGAGGTACCCGTGGCCGGTTTTGATTTGGAACGATAACGCGGTTATTTCTAGGAGGAGGGTGGTTTATGTGCGGAGGTACCCGTGGCCGGTTTTGATTTGGAACGATAACGCGGTTATTTCTAGGAGGAGGGTGGTTTATGTGCGGAGGTACCCGTGGCCGGTTTTGATTTGGAACGATAACGCGGTTATTTCTAGGAGGAGGGTGGTTTATGTGCGGAGGTACCCGTGGCCGGTTTTGATTTGGAACGATAACGCGGTTATTTCTAGGAGGAGGGTGGTTTATGTGCGGAGGTACCCGTGGCTGGTTTTGATTTGGAATGATAAAGAGGTTATTTCTAGGAGGAGGGTGATTTATATGCGGAGGTACCTGATTGTGATGGACGTTCATGATGATAGGAGGAGTACGTCTTTTGGAACCACAAATACCCAAATTGATGAATTGAATCAAAGAAGAAAAATAATTGAAACAAGGTCAAATATTGAATCCCAATTTAGACAAGTTCGCAATGTGCACTCTAGAGGAAGAACAAAAAGTACATGAAATATATAGGGTTTCATCTGAGTCCAATTTATTTTTATATATAAAACTCTACTAAAGTCTTCATAAATATTAGATCCAATCTCATTAATTTTAAAAATATAAATGAGTACGGTACTATCAAGTTAAAATTTTGAATACACTTTTACTATTAAACGTAAAACGAAAGTCTAAAATTAAAGTATCGTTTTTATATAAAAATGTATCATTCTTTCATTGACTGAGTGTTGAAAAAATAGTGTCACACCAACTGAAACGAGATGAAGTATGGTATCTCCCTAGCACTTTCCAAGTGTGGATGCTTTCCTATCTTATTGATAGTAGGTGTTTACCTACTGGCTATATAATTATATTATGAGTTTTACCTACTGGCTCTTTGGCAGTTTTCTCCTTTTGCGACCACCAATTTCTTGGTGATTACTCATTAGAGTCTCGCGGTAGAATGAATAGAATATTTTCACTTGAGTCATATTTTTCTAATGATCAAAAGTGACAAATTCAATTGGAGTGACTTTGTAAGAAAATTTAAGTTGCCACAACGATCCCATAAACACCCAGTAGCAGAAGATTTTTCTTTTCATTTTTTAATGAGCAGTTTTTATGTTCACATGATTATGTTTTTCATTAGAATAAATTTTCAAGCAATAAATTATATTTAAAACTTAGTTGTTTGTGGTGTATACTTTTTCATTCAAAGCTTCTATTACCTAATCCGATTTTTTTAATTGCTAGATTATATGATTAAGCACTTTTAACTCTCACAACTGTGTTTACCCATTATTGAAGTTTCACTTCAGAAGTTTTTTTCTAGCTGAGGCCTTTTTGTGGAAAACTACATTATGGATGTATTCGGTATGAAAGAAAATGTTTTACAGAAAAATAATGATTTTCCTATTTTCTTGTGTTTGATAGGTACGATCCAGAGAAATACCATAAGAGGATGGGTGGAGGGTGCTGCACGACACTGACCACACCGAGGAAGAACTAGGGGATCTGTCCGAGATTGAAAGTGTGGGGTGGTGAGGATGGGAGGCAGGGTGAAAATATGACGGATTGGAGGGTGAAAAGGATACAATCAATGTGGAACACCACATTTCTCCTACTACGATAATATTTTCCAATAAATTTAACCAAACGAACCTGGGAAAATTGGACACACCCTAAGTTCACATAACACTATAATTAAGTTCCTGGGTTTAGAAACTAGACTGAACTTGATGGCTGAAGGACTGATTTGAAAACGATAAGAGTAAATATGTAATCCTATGAAAAACAGTTGAGAATATAAGCAGAAAAAAAGTCCCGTAAAAGAGTAACTTCAAAATTTCCGCAGAAGAAACAGCCAAGTCAACAAAGAAAACAGTAGTGAATCCAGGCATAACAATAAGCAAAACATAGCAATGTTTAGAGAAAAGTTTGTGTACATGACCAAATTTTGGATTCAAACAGACAGAGACGATCCATAAGGCTCACTTGTGCGCTCACACTTTATTTCTTTCCTCGAAGTTTCGCTCCAAGAGCTCTCTCCAGTTTTGAGATTATCTGTTGGTTTGGAATTGCCTTTCCCGACTCGTATTCTTGGATAATCTGTGGCTTCTCATTTATCAACTGCAAAATAACAAAGGAGCTTATCAGATTTATTTTGCTACAAATTAACGATCCCCTATGTATGCGTCCATTTCATTTTTTCCCCCTTTTGGGGAGTCCAAAGTGAGTTAGAGGTATTTACTTGAGCAAGTTGAGACTGAGTCAGCTTCTTGTCTTGTCGTGCTTGCATGATAGCTTTCTTCAGTTCAGTTGGTACCTTTTCATCTGAAAAAATACAAAGCGACATCGGACTCTTTCAAAGGAGAATGATATTGTGGTATACACTATAGACAAAATAACATTAGAACGAAGGCAGAACTGCTCAAAATCCCAGGTACTAAAATATCAAGACACTGATTAGGGGAAACAAAAGATAGAAAGGATAGATTAAAGATCTAAGGAATCGACCCAGTCCAAATTGGGCGAGGTAAATGTATGTTTGGGTTGTGTTAGGATGAAGCACCATTAATTGTATATGTGGCAAGTAAAAATACATGGAAAATTTTAGTTGGGTAGCTAATACAACGTTGGCACTGTGAAACAAGAAATAGAAAAAAGAACAGGGGATCAAACTACAAAGACATTATGAAATACTATGCCTAGGAGAAACTTCATAGAGATGACTAGTGAATTAATTTCTTCCTTTTAAAATGTATAGATTGTGAATTCATCCTGTTTCGAAAGTGTAATGGATGTACAGAGAGAGAGCAGCCAAAAGGATGTATAAGTACACAATGTGTTTTGGGAAATGTATGTTCCTTAACTATGTCAAATTGAAGATATCGCATGCCCACATAAAGTAGGCAGAATATTTAGTAAATACTATGACTTTTACTCGCATACATACAGAGATTAAGCATCATAGTTGTCCACCAGAAGTTTTCCTAATTATGCTATAAAAGGTGTAGCTCAAAACTTACGAGACAAATTCTCAGTGTCTTCATCAAGTTTCCTAGTGTTCAATGATGTACTACTAGAGGCAGCCCTGTTTGAGCCTGCATTAGCTGCATTAGAAAAAATGGTATCAAGAGAACAGCTTATCACCATAAGCCTATTCCAAGAGATTACGAAAGCAAGAACATGTGACTTGGGAACAGGAATGGCTATGAAGCATCTGAATGTTTAAACTGATAAGTGAACTTGAAGAGAAAAAAAACTAAACCATCAAGAGAACACTCCAAACAGCTAATTGTGTTCACGCCTGAATGAGCATATGTTTACAGAAGGTTCCACACAAACAATGTAACTTTTTAACCTTCAGTAATCAACCAATATCAGAATATACAGGAAAGTAAGTAAAATAAGACCAAAAAGTAAATAGGTGCATTCTGTTACCATAACTTTAACGATCAGAAACAGCAAGAACTGCTGAAGTGAGAAGGTCATTGATTCCAAGAGAGAAACTCCACTTAACAAATTTCAAAGTTCAAGTTAACCAATTGTCCAACCTCAGTAGTTCAGTTATATTTTGAAAGGAATTTAAGATACTACCATTTTCTAATTTCTCCTGGTTTCAGTTAGTAAACATTGGTAAAACAATAAATCTGAATATAGAAATTACTCTACCAGCACACCAGGATAATGATACAAGATCAATCAACACATACTTAAGGTAAAATTGCATGTTGGTATTTGCAAAGGTAGTATGAAAGACTGATAAAAAATCGATCATCTTAGGCATAAAATGCACATACAGCTGAGCAATAATTCAATATTACAGCCATGAATAGCATAAATTGAACATATTTATTAAATAGATTTAGGTCCATTAGCAATTGTAAGCATATACAACAAATTGGTCATAGATAAATTGACATATGTGCAAATTATCTGATAATCTAGCAGACACAAAGGATATATCCCAGCGGAGAGAGAAGTAGCATTCACATAAGCGCACTGATTTTATAGGTAGTCAAATTAAAGTAACAAAATCACAAGAAATAGCTACACACAGACTGACAATAACTACAATGACGCCTCAATCCCAAACTATTTGAAGTGGGCTATATGAATCTCCTTGTCTGTTATGTTATATACATACTATAATAGCAAATAGGAGCTAGAGATGAAAACAAGTAATTGAGCAAACGACAAAACAGACTAATGACTACAGCTATGCCTCAATCCCAGACTTGTTGAGGTAGCTATAAATACTCAGTATTCACCTGTTAAATACAGAATTATAATAAATACTGAAATAAAAAGAGCTAGAGCTGTTAAGGTGAACACAAGGCTAACAACAACAACTATTACTACACGTCTACACCACAATCTCAAACTAGTTGAGGTGAATTCTCAAATTTCTCCATACCAATTCCCTGAATATCACAACAAAAAAAGAGGAGAGAGCAAAAGAGAGAAACAAGTAATACAAGTGGAGCTAGGGATGACAAAAAAGGTTCTTCAATAGTAAAAACTGAGTTCCGGAATCCTACTTCACAAAAACAGCTCAACAAACACATTTTACTAAAAAGTTCTACACAAGATGGTACAGATGATAAGATGTACACTGGCTAACAACAACTACCAATACACCACAATCTCAAACTAGTATAGGTTAATTCTCCATATTAATTCCCTAACTACCACCAAAAAAACGGAGAGAGAGAAATAAACAATACAAATGGAGCTAGGGATGATAAAAGTACTTTTTCAATTGAAAAACTGAGTTCAGAATCCTGTTACACAAAGCAGCCCAAACTTCTCTATGAGTTTGTAAGGTGTAACACAGTCTAACTATTACTACTACACAAACTAGTTGAGGTAAATTATCCAAATTCTCCATATCAATTCCCTAAATACCACAAAAAAAAGTACAGAGAAAAACAAGCAATTCAAACGGAACCAGGATGATAATAGAAATTTTTCAATTGAAACAACTTAACTCAGATTCCTTTTATACAAAAACATCTCAACAAACACTTTCTACAAACATTTCCATATGAGATAGTACGGAGAGGAAATCAACCGATCGAGAGATGAGAAAACTGAGTTCAGAAATCCTATTTCACAAAAACAGCTCAACAAACAATTTATCACATAGAGTTCTACACTAGATGATACATACAGGAAAGCGTGTTCATAGATAGATAGATAGAGAAAAGGAAGGATAAGATACACTTCTTAACGGTTTCGATCTCTGCGCCGGAGCGACGGGCGGCGTTAACGGCTTTCTCATCCTTGCGAGCGGCGGAGGTAGGCGCCTTCTTCCTGATTACTACCGGCTCCCAGTCTTGCGATATTCCACTCATCTTTTTTTCTTCTGAAATATCTCCTCTACTGTTGAAGAAATGTGTTGTCTCGTAGTTTATATATAGAGAGAGAAGGGGCCTTTTGGGGATTTTTCATTTCGAGGTTTTCCTTTTCACTATCCTTACTATTATAGATTATGTTGCTCGGAATATCCAAAAATGCAATTGATTGTGTGTTGGTTCCTTCAAAACTAATGCATTTTTAAAGAATTCGACATAAATTGATAAAATCTTGGAGAATTAGAATGGTTTGTCTTGTTAGCAATTGAATATGAAATAAAATTCAAATAACATTTAACGTTGTATCACAGATGAACCACCATCTAAAAACTAGCAATGGTGGTATTTCATGGAGATGGTGGTTGAGATGAAAGTTGTGAAGTAGTGAATGGTGGTGGTGGTCGTCATGATTGGTAGAGGGGGTTGGCAATGATGGTTGTGTAGTGATGGTCAAAGGTGATGAATGTGCGATGCTAGTGATTAGTGATGGTGACTAGTAGTAGTGGAGAGATCGGCTATAGTGATTGATGCACAACGATGCAATTACCAGGGGGTGTGCTCTACCACTGAGTTAATAGCCCGTCGTGCGAGCCTCCCACTGGAGGCCTACTATGCCAAAAGCGAGAGAAACCCCATCCCACCCTTACCTTTTCTTGCCCCCATGTCACCTCATGGGGGGAACGTAGGGACGTAAAAAAGGGGTCGTCCATAAATCTCATAAAAAGTACCTAAAGATTCATAGTGAACTTCGATGAGAGTTTCTCTTGAAGCATTGGTCTAAGTGCCCCCAGAGCCATAAAGGACTATCTGAATTGATTTTGGTAAAGGTGATTGGTGGAGTTTGTAACGAATAATGACTAGAGGTAACTGGCAATGCAGGTGAATTGTGGTGGTTGTGCGATGAAAATTGAAGGTAGATGTGTTGGCACGAGATGACACGTATTTCGTGAAATTAATCGAGAAACGTACAAGCCCCAACCATCATAGTTGTCAAAAAAAAAACATGGGGCACAGAGATAATAACTAAAGCATAGGCCTCCCAAGTATAAAAATTTTCTCAACAGCACAGCCAATGATGAGTGCATCTTCTCAATTTCATTCATACAATAAAGACAAATCACTAAGGTATCATCAGATTTACAGTTATGTCTTCTCCTAAAAACTAATTTCACCTATATCACTAACTTATAGTTTTTCCCTCAATCATATACCAATCATTATCATGAAGGAGATGATCTCTTGGAATGGGAGATCTTGAAAGCATGAGCTGTTTCGCGTTGCATTCTCAAAGTTCTTGAATAACAAGTCCATCAACATTCAACTCTCGTCGCTGACAACTGTTGTCTATTTCGAAACATCATTGTTTTCTTCATTTGCAACAATCATATCATCTGCAATGGTTCCTGGATGACAGATAGTATCCATATTTCAGATCAAAAGTAATGAAATCGAATATATGAATTTATAACAAGTCTAAGAAAGTAAGAAGGAACTAGTAGTTAAATGACGATATAACTGGGACACTGGGAAATTGCAAGAACTCGGGAAGTGACTCTGAGTAGCACTTTTCTCTTTGGCAGTGGATATATAAGACAACTTAACTACGTGAAATATGCTTCATAATTATGTGCAATCCTTTATAAATTTATATATCTTACCCGTTGTGTAAACAGTGACTACAATTCCTTTTGGTAGAATGGGTAAAAGCAGGTGATGTGTGATTGTGAAGGTTTTACATCTTAATTTACTTTGTTTGATCACTTCAGAATGAGATTATACATGGGAGCACTGAGTGGATGTGCAACACATCACCGACGAGAGAACATTGAGACTGCGACGAACTTCTGACTACACCAAGTCAGATTCAATGGTTTAAACTTTAGAGGCCTATCCTTGGTAGACAGCTAACCCGGTCCGAGAAGCAACACTCTTTCTCACATATGTACTCACGGTACAGCTACCTCCAAATTCTGTCTATGATAAACTCCTTTTTTTGATGAGCTATCTATCATCTATAGCTTTATCCTGTGTGGACTGCTAACCAGGTTTGGAGGACCAACCCTCTTTCTCTCAGCCATGTTCAGCGGTCACCTACCTCCAAAATTTTGTCTCATTTTTGTGATGAGCTGTCTCTAACTTGCATTTAGAAACTTCCTTTTTTTATTAGTCAAGTACATGTTTATCAAATATTAAAAGATGGATATGTTGAGTTGCGGGAAGAGATACGAGAAAAGTGATAGTTAACAAATTATACATCTCAGAAACACAACACAAAGAAGGCAACAAACCAGAAACAGATCTTAACAGAACAAACTTTCAATGAAGAATGCTAGACCAAAAGCCTTACCAGACAATTGGATGCACCCTCTGCGTTCTCTTTTGCTGTTTCGGGTATACCATTGCTAACATCTTCATTTGCATTGGCTTCACTTGTGGACTAGTGCAAAAGATAGAGTACAAGTCAGCTACCACTGACATTATTTCCTTCAATACAGTCAAATTCAAAAGGTATCTGACCAAACATATAGAAGCTGCATAGAACTAACCTCTAACGTTGTGGAGAAACCGCCATTTTCTGGCTGGTTTTCGTTACCGGAAGACCTGTTTTGCTGAGATAACTCACTGCTGCTAATATTTACAGTATCTCTGGTATTGCTTTGACCACTCAAACTGTTCTTACCACCATCACCCTCATTCCCCTGCAATATTTCAAAATGTTTACAGATTCAATTATGAGGTAAGATTAACTTGAACAGCCAGTATGCCACTTTCAGTGCGAACCATATAGTTTTAAGCTTATACTTTCATTGTTAATCACATTGGAAACTTGACCACACTGATGTTAACTTGTTAACGTAAAACGGCACAACAAAAGAACTTTGTTGTAATTCTATTTCCTTCTACTCGCCTACCTCCCCTCCCCTCAAATAAATTCTCCACTGTCAGTTTGGTAAGATGCTATCTTGAACAACCAGTATGCCAGTTTACTTGGCCAAATCAGTGTGAACCATAATATCTTTATATCACATTGGAAACTTGACCACACAGATGTTAACTTGTTAACGTAAAACGGCACGACAAAAGAAATTTGTTGTAATTCTATTTCCTTTATCTCGCCTACCGCCCCTCCCCCCAAATAAATTCTCCATTGTCAATTTGGTGATGACTATCAATGAACCAATTAAGCAACCTCTCCTCAACCCAAAATACATGAACTGGGTCAACCATACGAGTCCTCAATATGTTCCAATCTATCGGGGATATTTTTCATTCCAAAAAGTATAAAAACAAATTGGGGGTTCTCAAAACTAAAGGTTCTCTACTCACATTTATCCCTACAAGACCCAATGTAACTACGGCAACAACAATCATGCCTTAATCCCAATTGGTGATGACTATGTCCAATTAAAACCCAATGGAATATCAGTAATTAACCTGAGCCATCAAAATTTATCAGAAGATTCACCAAGCTTACAGCCTGCAGATAAAACAATGGATAGAAGCCTATATGCACCATCCAAGAATTTCATAAATGACCTGACCACAAGCCTTATGTGGCCGCCTTTTGTTTGTGTTGACTATAACAATTGAATGCAGAATAAGTGCTCCACAAACCTACTACCTCTTCCTCCACCTTTTCTTACCTAGTAACACACAAGACAACTAAATTCCCCACTATCACGGTTCTCATCACAATACTATCACAACACAGCATCCTCCCCAAAGTTTAACAAATAAAGTTAATCTTGGCATCCCCTCTTCCACCTCGGTAACATCATCATCATCATCATCATCATCCTCAGCATTGTCTGAGTACTCAACTATTCAGATACAGCCTTCAGAGCCTGTGGGCCTCGTTAACGACAAAACGGGTCAATTCTTCAGGAGTGGGCAAATGTGTTTGTGATTTGGGGGCATCATTCATTTTTGGACAGCTAACTAGGTCCCAGAAACAACCCTCTCTCTCACAACCATAATCATGGACCAGCTTATTCCACAATCTTGTCTAGAAATTAAAACCAACACCTTTTTCATGATGAGCTATATATCATCTATACGGCTAACTTATATTTAGAAAAGCCTATCCTGTGTGGAGTTGTAGACGGCTAAACAGGTCGGAGAACCTACCTTCTTTCTCACAAGTCACAACCATACTCGCAGGAAACATACCATCACAATCTTGTTTAGGATTGATTCCTTTTTGTGACGAGCTATCTTTCATCCACAGATCTAACCTATATATAGAAAACCTTCTAAGGTATAAATAGTAAACTACATTTTATAAAATATTAACACTAGATATATAAGAGTTTCTGGAAGAACTGCTCACAATAAAGTGGTAGTTCACAATTTTTTATTTTATATCTTGGGATAAGGCACAAGTACCCCCGAACTATACCTGAAATCCCAGCGACACACATAAACTTAACTAGGGTCCTATTACCCCTAAGCTATTATAAAATTGAATAAATGTCACCCTAAATGTTGATGTGGCATAATAACCAAATGAGTATCCTCTGTGTGTATAACACGCGCTTCACTTTTTTTCTGTGTTTATTACACGCGCTTCACAAATTTTTAAGCATTAAATCTCTTTTTGTTTCCATTACAATCCCTTTCTTTTTCTTAATTCTGTATCCATAGTTAGCCGCCTTGTCATTTGTACCTCTTTTGTCATTCATTCCAGAACTTGGTCTTCTTACAGATCTGGTTCTTTTCCACCTCAACGCGAATCGTTTTTGTGATGAGATCTGGTTTTTCAAAGGAAAGTAAAATGGTGAGAATATGTGTTGGAATGCTAGGGTTTTTACTCCGATTGACGAGTGAAAACCGGAGAAGACGCCGGAGAAACAGAAAATTCATCCTCATTCTCAGCTCCTGACTCATCATCCACAACCTCAGACTCGTATTCATTTCCGCTAACATTCAAAGAATCCTTCCCAAAAACCCCAAACCCCTTAAAACGCTTCTTCACTAAGCACCGAAGAATTATGAGTTACCACTTACCACAGCAGAAGCCAGAAAAGGACTGA